TTTTTTTTATATAAGGAATACTCTAACTAAACAGGCCTAGTGGTTTCTGAGAAGAAAAGAAAGAGTACTACAAGGGAAAACAAGAGGGACATTAATATTGTTATATGCTTAAAGTTTTGAGAGTAGTCGGTTGATTCGGCCGCCGAACCAACCATTTTATATGGTTAACCAAAATTTCGATTGTTAGTTTCCACCAACCGACCATCGAAAAAGATTTAAATCGGCTGTATATGTTCGGCAACGGAATTATCTCGGATTTGAAGTCTATGGTTTGGGTTAAATTGAAATAAAAAAATAATAGTAAATAATAAAAATTTATACATATTACTGTTTAATTTTCCATAGAATTTTCCAATTATTTTCACATTCCAAGACAATTTGCATTTTAATGTTTTAACCAAAATTATAATTTTCTAAAGGCAAGTATTTTAATACAAAATGAAATTTGATGATGCTTTCCCTAAATCTACAAATCTTGAAGACTTGATATTGACACCTTGTTTATGCTTTCTTGAACTTGAGCCCAGTAGCTACATTTGAGAAAAGAGAGGAGAAAATGGCAGCAGCAAGGAGAAACGGTGGAATTGTACATGTGAGTTTTAATATAAGATTTGTATTTAATATAAAATTAATTGGTAATTAGTGGTGTAATCTTCTTTGTGTTTATATATCTCACATACCTTTTTATTATACATTCAATGTACAATTTTCCTATTCAACACATCTTTTCACATATAAACCCATTATAAATGTCATGTTTTGTTATGTAAGTTAATACACCCTTTTAGATGTAGCTTCAATATGAATTTTGAGTTCTAAAGATGTAATTTAGATTCTGATACCATGTAAAAATTATACATGTGAGTTTCAATACAAAACATGTATCGAATCTAAAATCAATTGATAGTAAATGGAGTAACCCTCTTTATATTTAATAATATATATTTTTCTTAAATCTTTAATGTAAGATTTTCTCATTTACCAGAAGAAAGATAGATACCATTAATTTTATAAGCCTTAATTTACTACATAAAATTACATACCAAATATGATAAAAAAAAAATGACAAAAAAAAAATGCCAATCAAACTATATGTAGTTATGTACAACAACTAAAAATAACTCAAGGACGTTTTAATTTCCTTTATTTTAGTTCTCATGCAAGTTGCTACCCTAGGCCCTAGCCTTAACACAATTGACAAAAAGAGAATAATTAAAATGGAGTAGATCAAATTTACTTGTAAGAAAAACAAAAAGGAGTAGATCAAAAAGTAAGAAAAGAACAAAATAAATAAGCCTTCTTTCTAATATTTTTTTCCTCAACTGTAATAAAGTAAATAGCATCTAGTTACAAGCAAATAGATTTTCTAAAATCTCTTGAAGTGATTTTTTTAGATTACTTTTTTATTACAGGTAATTTTATTACCAAACTATATAATTGATGATAGAATGACTTCTTAGATTGTAATTCTTGATCGGCTGAATCTATTATAGATAACCATCATACATGCAACTGTTGTAGCAACAATGGCATACTTGTTGCTGCCACATCCATATACCGCAACTTGCATCAGTGCTTCCAAAAACCAATCCCAACAACTAATATCAGGTGGATGAGATGCACCAGATGGCAGAGGGCATGAAACACAAAAATGAGTGCCGAGAAGAAAAGGAGATCCCAAGCATCATACCCCCTAAGGCGTTGCCATATTACGGCAGCAAGCAAGAACACCAACTCAGAAGCATGTTTTTTATGAACTCCCATTGGTTTGGTGGGCAGGAGATGAGATATCATACTAAGGTAGAGTAAGAATCTCAAATTTACAATGCAGATTGAACCCATTGTAATGAATGGAATTACTTCTACAAGAAACGTATAGGAATTACTACGTGACAAAATAATGTTGCGCAGTCCCACCAATAATCTTAGTAAGACAAGTGCCTGTGCAACATGTCCTGAACTGAACCAAAACCAATTAAAATTCCCTGCAAAAATAAGCATGTTATTAAGCACTTAATCCCACGGGATAAATAACATGAAAACATGAATTAACAAATGTAATGCCTCAATCCCATGTCAGATTAAAAGTCACTACTAATAACTTTTGATGGTCCCAAATAGTTTGTTCGACAAAATAATAATCATAATAATTACTCAAACTCAAAACCTTCTTATAAATTTAATACTTTTTAAAATCAAATTTTTGTTGCTAAATTTCTTGATTTGATAAATTCTATCAATTTTTTTATGAATTATTTATTATTTTATATTTAACATAAAGTCCACTACTAATTTCTATGTCTATTTTAACATCATAAAGCTCAGTAAATTCTAAATGCCTTAAAAAATATATATATATAAAAAAAAACCCTCTAAGTGTTGTTTTATAAACTGGTCAATATCTAAGAAATTTAATTTCTTTCAATACAAATTAAACTGAGTGGTGCAACCCGACATTCAAAGTTAAAAAATAAAAAATAAAAAATTGACAGACTAGTGTAGTAGTATGATATAATAGCAATTAGTAAATTAAGCTAACAAATGAAATAAAATAAAAGCAAAGGAAATTGAGAATTGGAAAAGGAAAAACGAGATTACTTCTTTCGCCAGATATATCTAATGCCTCGTTGGATGATGGCAGCTTCACTGAACGAGGGACGAACCTGATAACAAAAGCGGAAGACTTAAATGGAATAAAAAGAAGAAGAAGAGGAGATTGTGAGAGGGACTAAGAAGAAAAGATATTCTAACCAGCCGGACTTACTCGGTCGGCGCCGGAGATCGAGAATTCTTGCGGTTGTTCATTGTGAGGAGATAGGTTACGAGTAGTGGGGATCTCTTTATTCCATATCCTTTTATAAAATGTGTTTATTAGTGATAAAGTTCCATTTTCGTGGTAATTCTACTTATTATTGGATTTGCTATTTGTCAACAATTCAAACTATTATACCAATTAACTGTTGTTTTAAATGAAAAAAATTCAATTATCCTTAAATAAAGTTTTGAATTTAAGTATTATAAATAGATAAATAGACGTTGAAAAAGTTTTTCTCTTTATAAGATTTGACTCAAGTTGATTTTGGATTAATTAGAATCTAATGCCACATCTAGATACTAGGAGATTAGTAAAAAAAAAAAAAAACAATTTAAACTATTATTGAAAATGATATGGTTAGAATAAAAATTTTGGCCTTTTTATTCAAGAATATACTTATGATGTCGTATGGGAGTACAATTACTACCTTAACACCTTTTCAAATTAGAAAGCTTTGCGGCTTCAATAATAGTTACATACCATTTTGGGGCTCAAACTCCACAAATAACCATTAGTAAATACTAATATTCTTAAGAGTTCAGTTTCGAATCTTTAATTTAGGGATTTTCTCGTAAATATTAGAAACTTATGGGACTTAGTTAAAACTTTTGACAAAAAAATAAATATATGAAAATGTATAGGATTCAATAATTATTTGATTCCAGTCTAAAACTTCATCCTATAAATCATTTTCCCTCTATAAATAACATGAATTTAGCACCCCGCTATTAATTTTTTTACTAAATATGGTAGTTTTTTTTTTTTTTTTGGGGGTGGGGGGTGAAATTCTGACTATAGTTTTTGAAATAGATAAAATATCGACATACAAAAAATAAAACTCTGAGAACACTCAAGTAGCATTTCTTTTTCCTAATTTTATTTCACATGCTACCTAATCATAACACAGTAAATTGACAAAGAGAATAAAATGGAGTAGATCAAAAGGAAAGAATTAAAGAACAAAATAAATAAGCCTTCTCTCTAACATTTACTCCACAAACGTAACAAGGTAAAATAGAGTCCGGCCACAAGGTAATTTTGTAATGTCTTTTAGAATGACTTTTCTGATGATAATTCTCAAACGAAACTTGACTGGCAGCTTAAATTCAGTCCCAGGACATGAATAGAAACAAAATCCCGAAATTTATCTGCAATTGTGCTAACCTGCTAGATCCAGCAAATTTTGCCGGTGTTCGGTTACCTGCAATCTCAGTAGTCTAAAAACCTTCTACCAATTTATAAAAAGTGCAACCAAAATAACAAAAGAGTTGATCAACAATAAAACATCATAAGAGTTTGCAAGTAAATACTTCAATGAAACACAATGAAGCCAACAATACATAATCCTTTATGGTAAGTACCTCAGGTGAAAAGTAACCAACCGTAAATCAACAAAAAGAGTGTAAAATGGGGTTGATGAACAAAAAGAATAGAATAAATCACAACACAATTTAAGCTGTGGGTGTTGTTTCCGGTTCTGGAGCAGGCTGGTTTTCAATGGCAGGGGCCTCTTGTTTAGGTTCTTCTGAAGAACCATTTGTGTTTGCATCTTTGACTGGTGAAGCTGGTGAACCTTTCTCAGCAGACTTGGTTCCATTTGATGCTGTGTCTTTTCCGTTTTTGGCATCCTTGGTATCCTTTGCAGGAGCAGGGGGTGGCGCCATCATGTGAGGTGGGGGTGAGTGTTTCAGCTTCAAAAGAATGTGTCGCATTCTGGAAAGATCGGTTGGTTTTCCAGGTTTTGGTCCCTGAATGACTGTTATTGATGGCTTCTTATCTTGGTCCTTCTTGCCTCTTTTCTTCTCAATGTTGGGGACTTCACGAGGAATGAGGTCTGCTATTGCACTCCAATACTGTTTATCAGCACTCTTATGGAACTTCTCTTGGTTAGCCAAGAATAGCTGTTCCAAGCACAGAACAAAAAAGGTTAATATGTAGCAGATTGTCACCAACATAACCATATCTCGGGGAAAATACCTTTTCTCTTTCTCTGTTGTTAGCTTTGTTGGTCTCAATATTGAGTTTTCTTTTCTCGTAAAATTCTATTTTGTACTCCTCAGCTTCTAGAATAATCTGGTTCCTCATTTCCTTTTCCCTCTTCTCTTTCTCCTCAAGCACTATAGCATTCTGACTGTTAACAGTAAAACAAAATTAAAAAATCAACAAACTTAATGGATAAGAGATTTAAAAACTTCATTTCCACACTTAGGTTAAAAAGGCAGAATTTCCTTCTAAAGAAGACAACATAACTAGAAGTTAAGATCTCGCACAAATTTCACATCCCAAGCAACAACTTCCCTTTTGCCCCTAGTCCATTTAAATTGGCATGTACAGGAACTTAATACGAAATGAAAGACTTAGAAGATTTTAGATCTTTAAAACAAAAACACATCCAACAAATGCATTCATTTTCTCACTAGATTAGCATGCCAACAGTGAATATTTCATTAAATGAAAATCAATACATATTTATGGGATGAGAAACTACAGATGTAGTAAAGTATGTGACCATGAGCTTAAACAAAGGAAAACCACTCAGAAAAAATATCGTAAACCGGATCCACACACTGAACTCCTGCAAAACTTACTTCACTACCTGTAAGACAATACCTAGCTTCTAGACCTGTCATTGTCAAAGAATTAAGATATTAAAATGCGAACATTCTCAGAAATCTACTCTAGACAAACGTAAATAACAGGAAGCTCATGAGCCTCACTGTTGTAATCAGGAATAACAAGAAGCCATATCATGTAGAATTCTTTTCAAACATAGGAGATCTTATATTTAAAAATCCCATGACACTCAATCTGAAACTGGATCCTCAGTACCAACAATCATAAAGTCTTAACGCAAACTTGATTACCAAACTTAAACACACATCGAAAAAAGATTCCTAATATTTTGACCTAAAGAACAATCCGATATTATGAAAACATATCTAAAAATAATTAATGAAATACTGACATAAATTGATTTTTAATTAAGTCTTCAAAAAGAAATGAAAAAACAACTTGAAGCTAATGGCTTCAATGGATCAAACTTCAAAGCATAGGAGATCTATGCACATGGTGATAACAAAACAAGAGTATGATCAAATTAACGAATCAAGTTAAACTTTTAACTCCCTCAGCAAGAAGGATCACTAAATAATTCATGAAAAGACTTTATCTGAGTTCGATACTGCAATTCAAGAAGCTTATAAACAATCAAACCAGCAAGTACGTACGATACATCACAACCGAGCAATCACTAATGAGAAACACATCAATGCAACCTGTAAAACATTGAATCGACTCAAGAGAAGAACAGATCTGAGCAGACAACAATCGGAAAAACAGCAGATCTGGTCAAATCCGACGACGTACAGTCAAAAAAAGAAGAGATTCAACGATAACACTTACCGCCGCCATTCACGAAGAGCGTATCCTTCTTCTGATTCCATTTCAGTAGGAGGCGGAAGTACCGGTCCATCAGACACGAACACGCTGCCGTTTCCAGCTCCAAAACCATTGGTCCCGTTTCCGTTTTCCATGTGAACCGTACCGAACGGAGGCTCAGAGTAGTCAGGATTTGGATCGGACGACCCAAACCCAAAGATCTCAGGCGAGGACGCAACGTTGTCCACCGGTACGTCACCTTCGGCAGCGGGGAAGTCTCCACCAGCGAAGTTGGAGTAGGAACCGTAATTTGAGTAGCTCTCGTCGTCTCCGTCGAAGGGATGGTTATTTGGAGCAGGGCGAACCTCTTCTCCGTCCATGCTGAAGGAATCGAAAGAAGCCATTTCTCTGATTTTGGTGTTTTCCTGTTTCACTTCCAGAGAACAGAACAGAGATTCAGAGGAAACTAGAGAAAGAAATGAAATAGCTTTAGCTTTGAAGCTAATTTTGACTTTTTATATACCAAGCGGTGAAGAGAAGTGTAGACGAAACGACTCCGTTCTATTTTTGGAGGGGAAAATCTTTTACCTGCATAAAAAATTATAAAGAAATAGAAAATCAAATCTACTAAACTTGGTTAGATCGACAGTAGACTGGGAGATGGAGAAACGACGTTGTTTTTGTTGGCCTTTCAGCGTCAACAAAATTGGCTTGAAAATTATCTTTTAACTGTCCAAGGGGTAGTCTATATTGCCTTTTGGCAAGGTAAAAACAAAATGTATAAACAAAATGTATTGAGTAGGAGTCTTATTGTTTGTTATTTGATATTAAATTATAATATAAAATATAAATTATTAAATAATAAAATAGTATCAGATCTCATGAATCACACACTTAATATTTTGATAATAATTAAGTTTCAAACTATAACACTATCATGTTATAATTTTTCATTTTCTATTATCAAATTATATTTATTCAAAAAAATAAATAGGAAAGTACTTTTTGATATAAAAAGAATTATTCATATAACAATTTAAATTTTATAATTTTTTATGGATATAATTATAATTTTTAAAAAAAATTAATGCTTGAAGTAGATATAAGTAATATTAAGAGACATACAAATTTGTATATGTAATTTAATATATTAAAACTACCATCACCTCATATATGTGTACTTGTTAAGTGAGAAAGTTTATATTATACTTTTTTATTGATATATTAAGAATTTATATTATTAATAAATGTTATAGACAAATTATTATTTGTTTAAAAAACAATTCGTGCTACCAGAAACTGAAAGCATCTGTTATTTCATTTTTATGGACAATTGACTTTCGACCTTTCCCTTCGTCCCCTGATGGTAAATTGTTCCTCTCATGATTGATCTTTGAGATTTTAGTTAATAATTTGTCAAAAGCTAGCAAATTTTTAAATTGATTAATTTTCTTTTGAGATACATAAAATTTATATGGAAATTTTACTCAATATCTTATATTTCTCTTATATTAATGACAGCTAAAAACAAAAGACAAAAACAAAAAACAAAAACAAAAAAGAGAGTACTTCCGTAATCCTTTCCTTAATGCAATTCTTCCTTCCTGGTTTTAAGAGGAAGCCAAGTAGGGAGAAGAAATAAAGAGAATGAACTCCCAAGTTTCAACTGCCAAGGTGAAAGAAAATTGACACGAGGAAATCTTATGCCCGTAGATTATGAAAAACTGTAATTACATCACCTCAAGTAGCAATTGGTACGCAAATTTTGCCTCTGAGATCAAAATACAGATCTTCTGATGCGTCGACAGATCACAAACAAGCTAAATGTCAAACCGTGTAGTTAGTCTGTGTTGTTAACACTGGCATGAGAGAAGATGCACCAACTACTGATCCATGCCATAGTCATTTACTCCAGCTTGGGACAACCGGTAAACCCAGCTAGAGTTTGCCACCGGTGGCATCAAGCGCTTGAGAGATGCCGAAGCCTACATAGCTGCATATTGTCAACTGTCATACTCTTGAAGCTCTGGGATGGAAAACTGATACAATGAAGATTTATCATCCTTCTGGTTGGATGAGTGAACACGACACAACAGTTGCAAGGAAATTCTGAAGCATGGACATATATCAAAACGATGGTCCCTTGGAGAAACATCCAACCACACTTGCCGGAGTCTTTGAAGTCATGAGAAAAATCTGTTGGGCTTCACAATTGAAAAGTAACACAGAGAAGAAACCAAATGGCAGATAGACAATGTGGGTCGTGGATCTAAAGCCATCGCCCTTTGCATACAGTGTTTGCTGTACAGATGTCCCAACAGCCATGACATGATTAGGTGGGACGAAGTAAGGATTTTAAGTCTCTCAAGGAACAGGGGGAGCATTCTTGGTATATCTACCAGCAGAAGAGGGCATCCGCCTCATAACTCGTGGAAACTCTGGCTTTAAACGCTTGCTTGACACACCTTGCAGTGACCTTGTCCAAATAATGACAAATATTACACATAAGAAAAGTGTGAATTACAACAAATGAATTTCATTCCTAGTTTACTTATATAACCAAAGAATATAGTTCAACCCAGGTGCAGGCACAAGACCAAAATCTGTGTTTAAGAAAGAGATTGCCAGAAGTAAAAATGTTTCATAAATAACAAAATAATAGAGAAACAAAAATATGAAGGTCAACAGACAAATAATCTTTGTGTTTAGGAAAGAGATTGACAGAAGTAAAAGCATTCCATGAAGAACAAAATAATAGAGAAACAAAAAATGAATGTCAACAAACAAATTGCAGATACAAACAGTGGATTCCATAATAGGTAAGCCAATTAGAAACCTAATATCATCAAATGATGATCAGAACATAACCACAGGTTTTTCTCATGTTGCCTTTTATCTAGTCTATTAGCACATTTTCAAAAACTGTGAGATGGGAAAGGCCAAGGGTAAAATGGAATCCAACAAGCATGAATCCACCAGATTGCTAAAGACACTTTGTGGGTCTGGATTCTGGAAACATGAAAATTGCAGAAGGCGAAAATTTTACTGATAAGAGAATTATGTGAAATAACACACCTTGGAGAACCCTGACGTTTCTGAGAAATTTGACCAAGCATAGATCGTAAACTTCCAAGGGCCTTGTCAGCAGCCTAAGGATAATGTATGTCGATAAGTCAAGTTAGCCATATCATAATGTAAATTCTGGATATTAAAAATTAAAAAATCTATACCTGCATCTGTGCCTCATCCCATGTTAACCCAATTCCTTTTCCTAAGACCTCTCCATCCACTTCAACCTAAAACATAAAGCCAAAACAGACAATTAAAATGAGAGTAAAAATGTAACAAATTATTACTTGAAATATCCAACAATCTTCTATCTTCTAATAAATGACCTATCAGTTTTCTGACTGCCTCATCAAGAAATGATCCATGTATTTACATGTAGGATCCATAAGAGACTCAGAAATCAAATAGATTAAACTCCAAAATTTTTGGCCGAGAAAAAAAGAATTCAAATCTCAATCAAGCTTTAGGTCTCCAATCTTGGGTTTCCAACATTTAAGTTTCTATCAACTTCTCTTGCATGCAAAATCGACTGACCAAACAACATAAAGACCAGCCATCAAATTGAGGAAAAACCAAATACAATCATAGGATGCAGGATAAAATAAAGGATCCATCATAAAGAAATATATAGGCCCTCAATCAATATGAGATTGATGGCAGAAAAAAATCAATACAAGATGGGTGTAAAAGTGGAGAAAATAAATTTAGGAAGTATTTTGAGCCAACTTATTAGACTTCCAGTTTTCTACTTTCAAATCTTCCATTAATTTCAAGGATATTCAAAACGGAAGACTGGAACCAATCTGCAGCTTAGATAACTGAATTTTAAACCTAATAGGGAAGTTACAAAGTTATTTTCAACTTAATTACAAGGACTAAAACAAAAGGTTTTTCAAAAGCAAACCTGAGCATATACTTCATCCCTCTGCCCCAAGTTTGATGAAGATGGAGGCAGTTCATGATAAACTACCCCTAGACCCTCCATCGTGCACTGTTAATTCATAACACATCATCGACAAAGGAAATGTAAGGTTAGGTGACTTCCAATAAGATAAGACTTTAAAAACACTACTTATATATTAAAAAGAAGGCAAAAAAGGGTATAACCGTTTAAGTTCTAGTAATCTTACCAATTCTTTAAGTGCAGAGACTGAACCCAAAGGCTTCTTGGAGCCATCCAGCCTTGGATCAACAAGCCTGGATGGCTCTGACACAGATGAAATAGACTCATCTTTAGCTGATGGATGACTCCCGAATGTACCAAGATAACCATTATCATTTGTATTAGAAAGCCTACTTACATCCCCAGAATCAGACTTTATTCGTGATAAATATATATCTGTCAGAATCATCATCAAAGGTTGTCAAAAAGTTAGAAGAAGCAAAACTTAAACTTTTGAGGAGATTTCCCAAACAAAAATTTGAGAGCACAAAATGAAGCATGTGAGGGCCAACAAAATATTCACTAAAGAAGTAAAAATACTTTGCAGTCTATGAATCCTTGATTCACTACTTAAAAGGCAAATTGAGAGCATAAAAAGTCTGACATGTTAATATTTTATAGATTTATATGCAGAGTTTTTTTATTGACTTCAAAGCTAAGCTTACAGGGAATATTCCAATGAAGATTATCATTCACATTTATCAAGCTTATCTAATATGCAACAATGTTTTCTTTAGTAAAAATCAATTTTCCTTATAAATGGAAAAACAAATTGTAATAAAGAATTAATTGCAATTCAATGCCTATCCTTTTCCTGTCCTGCTTACATATACATCCTTAGAGGTTGTTTTTACTACACGAGTTAAATCATTAGCAGCTTGCGGTATCTGGAAATATGCATCTTTTTCAGAAATATGCATCTTCAGTGTAATGAAAAGAAATGATTGTCCCATAGGCATTCTTATTTCTCTAATTTTCTTAGAACCATCAAACCCAGATTGTTCATAGATTCACTTTGAAAAAAATAAATAATTTTCATTCAGGTAAGCAGACAGAAGCACTTGATCTGGGGGTACTTCATCACTTCCTAGTTCCCACTTTCTACCATATAAGCTGTGATAAAATGGCCCATACCGAAAAAAGCATAAATTCTAAACAATAGCAAAAAACCATACCAGCTAATTTTTTTATAGAATCCTCAGCTGCCTGCCGTTGTGCATCTCTTCTTGTTCTACCAAATCCTTCACCAACTTTTTGTCCAGCAAACCAAGTCTACAAAACACAACAAACAGGATCAGCTAAAAGAGGACATGGTACCTCTCAATTCAGGAACTGGAAAAAATCAAGTCAAGTTTGGTGATACTATAAAGGCCACACACAAAAAGATCTAAATGATCAGGAACCAAAGTATTATAACTATATTTTAAATGATCTTTCTATACCATGTTATTAAGTTTATGTGAACTCCAATCTGATTACTCAAACGTTTTCCAAATAATTACTATCACATACAAATAATAATGAATCTCTGTTGCAGGATAGCTATGATGTGGAAAGAGAGAATAAAAAGGAAGAGTAATTAACAAATGCCACCATATAAACGTATGCAGGGTCTGTTCCTTATGATAGGTTAAAGAACATTTTTCTATCAAGGAAAATAGAACCCACATCTAAACCTAAACTTAAAGATGCATAAAGATAGATTTACTCTACTGTGACAAGGTACACAGATTATATTACTGGAAGCAATGCAGAAATAAATAATTTCCAAGTCAAAGAGTTCATAGAAACCTCAATGGAGAACTGCAGCTCTGTGCTAGCAACCAAAGCTGGCCTGAATTCAACCTGCAATTATGAAAAATAAAGATAAAACTGTAAGGTAGGAATAAAAAATAAGATTCAACATGGGGGGTAAGATCTACACATGCCACAGTCAAAATCTATCGCAATAGAACATGCTTCTAGACTTCTAGTACCTTGGTTCCACACTTCATTGCAATATCCTGTAACACACCAACCGGGGTTTCTCCACCAGGAATAGTTTGCTCAGATTCAAACTCTAAATCCATGCTGCTAGAAGAGGATCGACTCATAGGCATTTCCTCACCTTCAGATACAGAAACCCCAGAATAACAAACATAATCAGACTACATGATATTCAATAAAAGAATTGCTAGCAAGACCTTGCCATATTAGAAGTCTTAGAAATAATGAAATATTACCCCAGTAATGCTACAACCACTAAATTTCAATTCAAAAATGCAAATCAGAACTAAAGTAAATTTGAAAGAGAAGTATATGCTAATCAATTCAAGGGCTTATGTTATTCAGTTTAACTGAATTCTGTCAACCACATTTTGAGCTTCATGTCTAATTAAATTATTATGATTCCTTCCTTTCATCAAATTGTGAATCTAATCAATTTAGTTATTAGCTGTGGATGAAAAGCACCTCCTAACAATGACTACAAAACATGTCTAATGACTGTAACCCAGTTTAGTTATTATCACATCAATGTCCATAACCTAGAACTTTTTTTTTTTTTTTTTGAAAGGCAAGGAAACACAACCTAGAACTAGCATGACACCAAAAAGAAAAAAGAACAGTGTTAAGAGGATCCTTTGAACAATAATTGGATTAACAAATGCAGTGGCATGAGTAACAAGTTAACAACTTAAAACACATGCATAGCACATTGATGAAACAAATGCCAATAATAATAATAATAGTAGCAGTAGTAATAATAAGAATGATATAAAGAAAAGTGAAAATCAGGATGTCTTGGCATTTTAAATGCCAAGACTTCTTGTGAAATTGTTCAAATACCCTTAACGAATCTTTTGTGTGTTGATTCATTAAGGGTATTTTAGTCTTTTTATTATCATTCCTGGCATTAAACATCAAGACATCTGATTTTCTGCAATCCCACATATATATATGAGGAGAAATCCACTTACACACAAATGTTACACAAAATCTTAACAATTCATCCCTCCATTTTCAAGGGTTGAGATTTATCACGATTTTTTAGATGAAAATAATAATTATCTTTAATAAATGTGAATAAATCTCAACCATTGAAAGTGGAGAGATGAATGGTTGAGATTTTATGTAAGTGTGGTGTGTAATATTTGTTTGTAAGTGGATCCCTACTCTGAATTTCTGACTATAACAATCGAGAATGGGAAGGAATAATTTTCAGAACACATATGCCCTAGGTTCTGGAGGTCACCTCGAAAGTATTCTACCAACCAAACAATACTAGACCCTCTTTGGAAAATTATCTAATGCATCCTATAATTGATACTCAAAATTCCATTCACTTGTGTGATAGGAAAAGATGGGAATTGATCAAAAGCATGCCAAGAACCGCATCAACACAGCTAACAAGGCACTATAAAAATGTAATAATAAAAAAATCCGTCACCTGGGAAGGAATTGTAAACAGAAGATGTATGGTTCACCCTCACCCTATCATCCCTGTGAACTGCCTGCAAGCAAATGATAGTCTGAGATCAACATTCTCCATGAAAGAGACAGGTAAACTACCTTTTTATTGCAGGATAAAGAGTCATTTAAAAGTCATACCTCTTTTGGCAATCTTTGATTTTCATGAAGAATTCTATCTGATGGAATGGAACTCTCAGCCTTATGGAAAAAGGATGGATAATGAGGTCGATGCTTATCACTACGCATAGATTCAGAATCTAAACGAGATTCTTTAGAAACTGCTCGTTTCAGCTGCCGTGGGATCATCTCTTCCTCCACATGAAACCAACTTCCCCTTGACTGCACAGGTGGAACTGAAACTGGCACAGGAGGCCTTACTGGAAATGGCTGTTCACTTGATGTATGTTCTCTAGTATCTTGTCCATGTTGCAATATAAGAAGCCTTCTCCTTGTATCAGGATCTAATTCTGATTCTGGAACCTCACCCTCTTCTCTGGCAGGAGAACTTTGCAAGCTTGGTTCTGGGGACCCTACATGTCCCAGTGGTTTAACTAATGGAGCTGAATTAGAAAACTGCATATTGGGAGATGATGTTATGGACAAGGATGCTGGCAGTGGAATTGAACCAGATGAAGATGGCATTGTGAACTGAATAGAAGGAGCAAGTCTTGGATCTAGACCAATGGCTGCTGGAGACACGGTTGAAGCAACTGAAATGGCCTCCTGAGATAGAATGTAGTAGAAATTTGTTTTATGTCCATTAAGAAATAGATGCTAAACATCCAGTGAACGTAAAAATTGAGTCAAAACAACAAGATACATCCAAATATTAAGAAAGGGGAAAAGAATCATGATTACCTTTAATCTTCTTTCAACCTCAGCATCTGCCATGCCATCAAAAGAAAGCAGTTCTCTATTTCCATTCAAAGCAGAAGGGTCATCCTGAAAGGTTGGCAAAGCAAATTAACAGTGAAAAAGAAAGTGTGATCTAGAATCTATAGGTATGATTCAAACAGCAAGATTTAGGACTATGGACACAGTGTGCTAAGATATATGGGTTGGATAACAGTAGCCAACTAAATAAAACATCATGTAGGTTAAGAAAAGAAAACATAGAGAGAGAGAGAGAGCTCTTGACAAACCTCAGAAACTAAATAGTTGCTCACATCAGGAGGAGAAGGAATATCTTTCATGTCATCTTCATATGAGATGCCAAGTATATTTTGCAAAAGACCCTCATCAAAGTCTCTGCCATAAAAGGGAACTGTAGAAGTCAACAAGCAAATAGAAGCAATTATATTGCCCAACCTGAGTTACAACACCAGCAAGTATATGTTTCACATAGAGAAAATTTACCTGAAAAATCCACCCCTAACATTGCAAGCAACATTTCTTGCAACACACAGTATGGGAATAGCATTATTTGCCTGAAATAAGAAGAGTTGTAATTAGAATATGTCCCCATAAAAAAGATTGTGAAAATTATTCTGTTTTCATGTGTATTGTGACAAAATGTAAGAAAATTTCCTATTCTTCATACTTCAGCTTGAGGAGCATAATATGGGGCAAATGCAGGGACTACATGAACCCGGGGTTGATCATCATCATCCCAAACTTTCAAGCGGTCGTCAATTACCAATGCCATCTTTGGATGACATGTTCCATCTTGAAAGACATTGAATAATGACTTCCTAGAACCTGTGAATACGTAAAACAATTATTACAACATGGTTTTTAAATTCAATCATAAGTCAGAAATATGATCCCTTCCTTTAAAAACTTACCAGATTTGACACACACGATACGGTCCAACAATTCCTTCGAGTTTATCAGATTTGACTCTGGATCAAGAAGCCTCCACATTTCCAATGCATAATCCCTTTCAGCCATTGTGCACACATAAACCTCAAAACGTTTGCGCCCTCTTGCAGTCAAATAGCTTCGCAGATCCTCCCATGCAGGTCTCAACCTCACAAGAACACTTGTATCACGAATCTATACATAATAGAAAAAAGATTTGTCAATGCTTAAAATCAGTTGTGAAAACAAAAGTAAATTATGCAGCACAAAGATATCCCTACCATACTGCTTAGGAGCCAAATACTTCCTTATTTGTATGGATAACCAGGGAACCAACATCAAGAACAATCAAACAATGGCTTGATCCTTGACAACTTCTGATGTCTCCAAGAGAGTAATGCATGAAAAAAAGAAAATCTTTACTTTGTATTGATAAAATTCAAACCTGTGGATTGATGCGAGTGAGAATAATGTTTTTCTCCTGTAACCGTATGAGTGGACGAACAATAGGTTGGTGGTTGTCAGATAAGGCTTGTACAACCTCCGATTGAATCTTGATCACCTTCCCATTTTCAATGACCTGATCATTTTCAGCATACTGCTTCAATATGGCCTTATCCTCTTGGTAACGCTTCACCTCAGCAACCATACTAGCAGCACGCTGTGGATCCGCTTCAGTGCTTATTTTTCGCTGCAAAGCCTCTATCCTGTCCTCAAATGAACGCATTGTATTTGCAACGATAAGAGTTTCATCTAGATCAAACACAATTCCAAGACACCTGAGGTTGAGCATGACAAGGCAAGAGTCATAGAGACCAGTTGCAACATTGAATCCCCAAAAACATGGTCTGTCATCATTCCTAGAATACATGGCAACCAAATGGAGCTCCTTTGTCCCTAAGGGCATCACTGCAGTCTGTAATCACCAGAATGATAATCAAAATCAACCTTTGCTAGTTAGTTATATTGAAGAATGAGATGTAAAAGTAAGAAAGGAAAAAAGTTATTTTATAGGATAAAGCAGCACATTAATAATGAAAAAACATTGCAGTTTGAAATTGCTAGACAAGGAAGATGGGAAAAAAAACCTAGCCTTCACATCACAAAGCAAATTCCTGCAGTGAACTCATTTATAATTATGAGACATTCACAGCAAAAAATCTTCTGTTCAATTTAAATCAATAAATCATCTAGTTCACTTCTGTCTGTTCAAGCTCTAGAGTCTAGACAACAGACCACAGACACCCTAACACAGAATGATACAGCAATAATCATAAATCACCATGAAGATTGATGAGATGAAGCTTTCATATATGATGTATAACGTCAGAGTGTTCCCAACAACATGTAGCCACCTCAAAAGTTCAGGCGAGAAGCTTAAAAAAGAATCACTCCATCTTTTCTAAGCAACATAAATTAAGTTAAAAGAGTTCTGTTAGTTTTTGGGTTCACTAAAGTGGCAAAATTTTCTAATTTCAGATTTTCCTTTCCGGGGAAACATTAAATTAATCTATAATTACCAAAAATTAGGGCAGACTTAATGAAATTGTAAAAAATTTCAGTCACAAAATCAATTCACCTTAGTTTCTGAGCAAGATCTAAAATTCAAATTAGGGCCCATAATGTGTTAACTTGAACTCCTAAGAAATCTGTTGTTCCATACAACAAGTTCTAAAATTCATACATCCTACAAATCTGTTCTCTGAAATTGTCAAAAAAATTTGAACTTGGGTCCCGGTAACATCTTGTCCATAATAGTCCCCTGCAAATTTCTGAAATTTTTCAGTTCAAGAAATCAAACAACTTTCAAGGGCTTTTCTTTTAACTTTTTTAGCTGATAATTTTTTTAGGGTATTTTCCCTTCTTTAAGAGTGGAGTTTGTGTAGCATTTGTGGCTGTACCTTGTTGTCTCTGATACAGGAGTGGTGCAAAAGATGCAGCGGCGTGTCCTGAGAGATGGAGTGCTTTGATTCCATTTTGAAGCTAATTCCACAAGAAGTAATGGTATGTAGAACTGCCAGTGGTGGACACCTCTCACTAGCTTGCGAGAAGTAACCTATCCTGATTTCCTTCATTTCTTCTTCTTCTACCATTCTCCTCCCATCTTCTTCACCTTCACCTTGCTGCTGTAGTTGTGGATATATCTCCACCTCCCCCAACACCTCCTCCCCTCGATACACCACAGATTTAAACATGTTCATCATCTCTCCCCGATCCATCCTCCCTCGTCAATTTCTCATCAAAGGTTTATCAGTTCGATCGATTCCTCCCTCAAAATCATCATCATCAGAATCAGAAAGTGCTTAAAATTTCTCCAGATTTCGCGATTTTGCAGTTTAAACAGCTAAAAAAGGGAAGAATTAGGCTTTCTTTGTTCTGCTCAGGTTTTTATAAAAAAAAAAAATAGATCTGCGATGTATGATTCGGGAAATGATCCAGGAAAACACAAAAAAAAAAATCAAATTGATGGCTGATTCTTCCTCGATCGATTATCGATTCAGTCTTTCTATTTTCAAAATCAAGAAAATCACTGGAATTAGGGTTTTCCTTTTTTTGTTTTTTGGTGTTGATGAAGAAGCAAAGCGAGTTCTTTGAAGGAAAGAGGAAACCCTAGATCCAGACAGCGATGGGTCAAAAATAGCACTCCATTGCGTTGTTTGATGGATAATAAAATAAATTTTTGAATATTTATATAAAAAAATTACGTAATGGGGTACGAACATAAAAAATTGGGAGTCCGTGTGGGGACTCATCGCTTATAATTTTATACGAGCAGTGCTAGGGACACTCGCCTCCTGCACTCTCCGGCGAATACTCCCCCTTTCATTGGGCCACGTTATTTTATCTCGGCCAGTGGTTGCACTTTATAGCGTAACAACCTTACGTGGCCCAATGAAAGGGGGAGTGTTTTCCGGAGAGTGCAGGAGGCGAATGCCCCTAGCACTGCTCATTTTATACACTCTCTCCTATTAATTTTCATACGTATTTTAAATTTAATTTTTTAAAATAATTTTAAAAATATATTTTTTTAAATAAGAAAATTTAATTCATATTTTAGGTATTTAAGAACTAAAGAAAGAAAATCTCATAAGATTTGAAGAGACAACTTTGATCCTCTCTAATTAATAGTTCTAACCATTAAACTAAAGTATGAGAATTAAATATATTTTTTAATTTATATGATAGACATTAGTACATATTAATTTTAATTTTAAAAAAAATTAA